GCACTCACACAACACACACACGCCCATCACTCCACTGTTTGTCCACACGAACAGGGAGCAGGCCGTGGTCGTGATCGACACCGACAAGTCGCACCTGGCCCCGGGCGACGTGGTACCACGACCCCTCCTCCTCACCTCGACGTGGGCGTGTGATCAGTGCAGAGCTGCGGCGCCTGACCGGGGGAGTTTGTTGTTGTTGCGCGTGCGGGCGCGTGTGCGCGCGTAGTGCATGGGGCTGGCGCCGATGATTCCGGGCATCGACGACCTCAACTCGTTCTTCACCGACCACGCCTCCTTCGTGTCCCTCGGCATCCGCGGCGAGGTAGCCCTACCTACGCTCTCTCTGTCTCCCCCCCCCCCTCTTTCCTTCACCACTGCTCTCGAGTCCATTGAGCACACCTGGCATCGTTCGTGGTGGTGACAACAAAGGTGGCCCGCTTCTTCGCCGGAAAGCTGGACGAGCAGGCCATCGGCCTTTCCGACGCGCCCATCATGGTACCCACACCTCGCCCCCCCCAATTGTTAAAACACGCATTGGTCGGGTCGTTGTTGAGAGAGAGAGTGGTTGGTCACGGTGTGGTTGGACAGACGCCGGGCACGACCCTGCACGCGGACAAGAACTACGCCCAGCTGCTCGGCCGCGTACGCTCGCCCTCGCCATCCACTGTGAGACCTCTCGAGCGCGGCGTTGGCGCCTTGGCTAACCTCTCCGAAACGTTTCGGCGTCGTCGTCGTCGTGTGTGATCAGATGACCGAGCTGGGCAACATCCAGTTGGGTCTGACGGTGGGCTATCTGGCCAAGGGCGAGCCGCAGTACGCGGTCAACATCGTCGTCGACCGTGAGCGGAAAATGGGCATGATCATAGGTACACACCCTCTTTGGCCTTCTCCTTGATCAACGAGTTGTGAGTAATGTTGACCCTCGAGGGGGTCGTCATCGTAGGGAGCCTGGTGAGCATCGCGGCCTGGGTGGTGGCCCTCGCAGCCATGATCCTCTTCGGCCGAAGAGCCCTCCGAGAAGAAGAGCGCAATGCGCACAACCTTGTGTGAGCATTTTCTTTTCATAGGATGAGAGGGCACTACCCACAGTGGTGGCACCAGCAGAGGCAGTGGTGTTAATGAGTGCTCTCAGGTGAATCAACTTGATTCCAAGTGGTGTGGAAAGGTCATAGGCTGCACCACCTGGCCATGTGCCTCAGATACAATGAGGTGGCTGTTGGATGCCCTTACGCTCTCGAAGGTCCCACCAAACCAGTTGTTCACTTGCGCTCAGTGATTGCTGAGACTGGCCTCCATTGTTGGGAGTCAAGTCATGTGGTAGAAAGTTGCTGGGGAAGAGTTGTGGGTGGCTTGTGTGCTGTTGAGGTTAAGAAGGGCAACTGGCTGGCACAGCTTTTTATCGCTCCGCACGCCGATTATCTTTGTTGTCTGAGTCAGCATTGAGTCTATTTTGTTGATCGTTCAGTCTTCAGAAGGCGGTGGGTGACGAGGCCGCGGCGAGGCCGATGTTGAGGAGCAGCTTGTGGAGGAGCGGGGCGAGCGGACCCTGGTGGGGCGCGAGGAGCATGGCCTGGACCACGAGGCCGTCGTACACGCGCAGGGCGTCGCAGCAGGCCGGGTCATCGGCCAGCTTGCTCAGCACCAGGCCCGCCTGCTTCCGCAACCGCTCCCGCACACGCTCCACCACATCGCCCGCGTAGCCGTCATCGCCCTCGTCCCGCCGCTTCCGCTTGTTGCCGCCGCCGACGCGATGGCGGGCCGCTGTGCTGCTGGCAGTGGCGGTGGCTGTGCCCACAGCTGCCGGCTTCTCTTCTTCGTCCTTTTCCTCGCCCATTCGCGGCAGCCGAGGGTGGCGT